CATAAACTGGCAACACACAGTTTGCAGACAGGTGCCGATCTGTAGATCATGCTTGGAGTAGCACTGGTCTGGAATGTTTGTGAAGTATGAGGCTAGGAAATTGGCCTCTTTAAAATCCCATGAACATCGGGGGATATTGTGTTAATTACTCCATTCATCTGTGCATTCATTCAACAAACATTGAATGAGGAGCAACTAGGTACCAGTCACTGTTGGAGACTGAAGCTAATAAAGATAAATATAACAGGGTTCTGGCCCTCAAGATGTTCACAGGCTGGAATGGGAAGCAGCCACTTTGATAAATAATGAAGAGCTGGTGAAATTAGGTCAACAATAGACCAGGCACTGTGGGTGTGGAGGCAGGAATATTAATTCTGCCTGAGACCAATGGGGAAGACTCTACCAGGGAGGTGATGCTTGTGCTGGGGTTTGGAGGCAGAGAGGCAGGTGTTTAATCCCACATGGCTAGCCGGCATTCGACAGAGGAATTAAAATATGTAAAGTGCTTAGCACAGTACCTAGCACATAGTAAATGCTTCAAATGTTTGCTATTTTTATTATTCAATATTATGAATGATCGTCATTGTCATTGTTACTATTCACCTAGATCTGCCTGGCACTGTGCTTAGTTTGGCATGGGGTTGTGGAGGTCACAATAGGTAATTCAGTTGGGGAAAGAGGTGATCTGGCTTTGAGCCCACCCCCTTTTTCAGAGGAAAGATTTTCCTGGAAGAGGTGGGTTGGGAGCTGGGTATTGAAGGAAATGGGTATGGATATGTGAGAGAGGGAGACTTTCAAGGCAGGAGGGTCACTTAGAGACAGAGCCCAAGGAACAAGTATAGGATAGGGGAGGGGGCTGGTCTGATGGGAACAGGAGATGGGATGAGGCTGGGGGTTGCAGGGGAGGGGGCTGGTCTGATGGGAAGAGGAGATGGGATGAGGCTGGGGGCTGTAGGGGAGGGGGCTGGTCTGAAGGGAAGAGGAGGTGGGATGAGGCTGGGGGCTGCAGGGGAGGGGGCTGGTCTGATGGGAAGAGGAGATGGGATGAGGCTGGGGCCTGCGGGGTAGGGTGCTGGTCTGATGGGAACAGGAGATGGGATGAGGCTGGGGGCTGCAGGGGAGGGGCTGGTCTGAAGGGAAGAGGAGGTGGGATGAGGCTGGGAGCTGCAGGGGAGGGGGCTGGTCTGATGGGAAGAGGAGATGGGATGAGGCTGGGGCCTGCGGGGTAGGGTGCTGGTCTGATGGGAAGAGGAGATGGGATGAGGCTAGGGGGCTGCAGTGGAGGGCCTGTGGGTTTTCCAGGCCTTTGGATAAGGGGTGTGATGTTCTTCATTCTCTCACTTAGAACAAGAGATAATAATAATAATTAAGATTTGTCTTGCAATTTGCACTATGTAGCTCCTTCACAAACATTTCCCATTTAATTCTTTTAATAACCCCACGAAGGAGGTATTAACAGCCTCACTTTACAGATGAGAAGGCTGAGCTCAGAGGTCAATACCTCTGAGTCCGAGGTGACACAACTGGCTTTGGCCTAGACAGGATCGGAGCCCATGTCCCCAACTCCCACTCCAGATATTTTTCAGTGTACCATGGAGAGGTGACCTGAGCCTAGTCCTCTGGGGAGCTGGGGTATCACCTTTATCACCTTCAGGAGGCCCCGGCTCCAGGAAAATGATGCTCTGGGGCTAGTCTTCCCTTTTTGCTTTTCCCAGTGGATGGGCTAAAGTGGGGAGTGGAGACAAGCCATGGGACAGAGGTTGGCAGTGACAATAGGTGAGGGCCACAGAGGGCTCCTCCTCCTCCCTCCAAGTCTGACTTGTACCACTCAAGGGCGAGTGAACTTACCCTGGGCACAATTACCATATTTTGCATTTATTAAGTGTGGCCAAGAGGGCCATTGAAGTTTGTTGCTTTTTTTTTTTGTTTGTTAAGAACACTTTTTGGCCGGGTGTGGTGCCTCACGCCTGTAATCCCAGCACTTCGGGAGGCCGAAGCGGGCAGATCATGAGGTCAGGAGATTGAGACCATCCTGGCTAACATGATGAAACCCCGTCTCTACTAAAAATACAAAAAAATAGCAGGGCGTGGTGGTGGGTGCCTGTAGTCCCAGCTACTCGGGAGGCTGAGGCAGGAGAATTGCCTGAACCTGGGAGGTGGAGGCTGCAGTGAGCTGAGATTTCGCCACTGCACTCCAACCTGGACGACGGAGCAAGACTCCGTCTCAAAAACCAAACAAACAAGAAAACAAAAAAAAACACTTTTTAAAGGTGAATTTGAAATAAGAAGAGTTGGGCGAATGAGAAGGCGTCTTGGAAGTGAAAACACATCAGAGATGTCAGCCGGAAGATCAGCATGGAAAGGACCTACACACATCCACTTATCTTTACAGAGAAGTTGCATCCCACCAGCCCAGACCAGTGGCTCTCTCCAGGGGGGACGTTTCACAATATCCAAAGACATTTTGGGTTGTCATAGTTGACGGAGTTCTACCGGCATTTGGTGGGTAGAAGCTGTGGTCCAGCTAAACATCCTACAGTGCACAAGACAGCCCTCACGACACAGAATTATCTGGCCCAAAATATCCATGTGCTGAGGCTGAGGAAATCTGGCCTTGACAGCAGTGTGGCACCATGGACAGCAGAAATGCAGCTCCTCCGTGAGGCTGTGATCCAGACCCATTCTGTCTGAAGAGGCTAGGGTCTGCCACTCTGCATTTCCTGAACTCCATCATTTCCAGAGCACTGGGGCCATGGGAAGGCACTGGGGTGAAAGCCGTGGTGGAGCATCAGCGGGCAGTCAGGCAAGCCAGGGCCTGAGACTCTGGGCTTTTGGTGGGAATGTTCCTCACCCTGCCCTCCCCTCATCTCTACTACAGGTATAGGTTGTCCCTTGTTTTCCTTTTCATAAAATCCCACTTTAGAGCCAGAAAGGACTTTGGTCGAAACCAGCCGCTCTAATAGGTGAGGTGCTATTTTTCCATTTTACAGATAGGTATACTGAAATCTAGAGGTTAAATACACAGGGTATGTGCTTAGCTGATTCCCCCAAGAGCTTGGAGCTCCCAGAGGGCAGAGACTGCTTTCCAATCATCGCTGCAGTCCCAGCCTCTGGCAAAGTCGTGTCTCAGCAGATGCCAAATGAAATGTCTTCAGTTAATGGTCACTTTTATCAGTGACTTAGGCCCCACGCTCCTGCCTCCAAGAGAGCGCACTCTCTGAGCACCCATCCTCTTCTGCATCCTGCTCACTACAGCGAGGCACCCCCCTTTTCTGGGGTTCAAGGCCACCCAGTCCTGGATGGGAACAGCCCCCCACCTGACCCCAGGCAGGCAGCTTCAGCCTCCTGGTGGGAAGATGCAGTGGCAGCTTCACCAGCCCTTCACTCCTTCCCTCCCCTCCTTTCCCCTCTGGCCTTACAAAGGGCTCAGGGCAGGACAAATCCCCCCTCCAGGCTCTTGGAAATGTCTTCACTGCGCCCGAGGAAGCCCACGCAAATGGCCACCCTGACCTTCAGCGGCCACTTCTAACTCACAGAGCAAGACCAAGAGCGACCAAAGAGACCTATCAACCAGCAGCAATATGTTATGTGGACCTCACTGGGACTCTGACTCTTTAACAGATTTTTAAAAACAAGCAAAAACCTATAAATAGACAATTGGAAATATGAACCCTGATTAGATATTTGACAATTTCAGGAATGGTTGTTAATTTTTAAAGTGTAATAATGGCATTGTGGTTATGTATTTAAAACGAGTCATTATCTTTTAGAGATACAGACTGAAATATTTATAGATGAAATGACATGATGTCCAGAATTTGCGGAATAATACAGGAAAGGAGGAAGCAGGTGAGGACATTGATGAAATAAGGTTGGCTGTGAGTTGTTAATTGTGGAATCCAAGTGATGGGTACATGGGGAGTTTATAACATTTTGCCTATTTTGATATGCATTTAAAAATCTTACAGCCTATGAGAGCTGCCTGGGACCACTCAGGGAGCACGCAGACCATGGTGTCCAAACCGTTTTCTGTGGAACCCAAGATTCCAAAAAGATGCCTCAGGACTGGTGCTGAAGGTTGGGTGCAGGGAGCGGGTGGTGAAGGGGAGCCCAGGGACGGGGCTGTGGGGGTACACTTCTGTTTCAACCAGTTTTATATAGTGGAGTTCTATAGGAGATCTCATTTTGGGAGAAAGGTTCTGCTCAGAGGAGGAAGCAGTTTTCCAAAGACCATGTGTGTGGGGGCAGCGCAGAGCCGAGCCCGGGCTCCCAGCTCTCAGCCTCCCTGGCTCTGTACCACACCACCTTCCCAGGGCATGGCTGCCACCCCAGGGCCCCTGCCAGACTCAGTGGACCTGCAGTCTAAGTCTGGTGAGCCACAGCAGGATGGGGCTTGGCCACCTGGGGCTCTGCCCTAGGTGGCTAAGGGCATCTGCCTCCCTTGGGCCACCCATTGCTCAATTTTCACAGCCAAGCCTGTGGCTCAGAGCCAGCTTTAGCATTGCTGCCTGCCATCTGGCCAGGCCCCAGTGGCTCAACTGGATGGGGGCCAGCACCTCCCAGGCATGCCTGAGCCAGGGAAGTGCTGACCAGGGTTCAGTCCACTGGCTACACAGCAGGAGCTCATTCCAGAAGAGGAAGGCCTCATGCCCACCCCTTCCCGAGTCCCTCCTGCATGAGAGGACTTGTCTGAGGCTGGCCAGATGGTTCTGTCCCCATGGGGTTGGGGCAAGGGAGTGATAATGGCTCAGATTATGGTTCCCACCTGCAGGCCAGCTGCAGGAGGAGCACAAAGGGCTCCTAAGTCATGTGGCAAGGAGAAGAGGGAAAAGAGGTGTTACCTGTGAGATGGGTATCCATTAGCTGCAAAGAGCCTGGTAGGACTTGTGAGGACATGGAAGGAGGATGGACATCAGTCCATGGTGAAGGAAACAGGTGGCTATGCCAGGGATCTCCCATTGCCCCTCCACATCCACCCTCCACCCTCCCCATCTGCTCTGTGTTCAGGGCTGTCTAAGTCCTCCGTCACCTTCCCACTCTGGCTGGGCTCAGTCAATAAGGAAGTCCATGCTGGAGCAAGGACGGTGAGGTCGGGTACTTATCCCTCCAACTCTCTCCCTGTAGGTTGGCCATGGGCTGGCTGTGTCCCTTGACTGAGGTCCTTGCAGGTCCAGTGGCAGCCTCTCTCCATGGCTCTTCTACAGTGTCTGGGAACTTCTCCCTCTCCTTTTCCTTTTGGACCTAACAAAGGTCACAGCTGAGTTCTCACTGGCCTCAAGATGTTGCATGTCCCCTTGAGGTCTCCCCACCCTGTGCACATATTTGTAAATAGTCCCTGTAACAAGACCTTCTCAAATTATCCAGATACTAGTGGGCTTGGGCCATCCCTTCCTGTTAAGACCTTGGCGACTGCAGGCTGCTTGGGAGCTGAGTTTGCAAATGCTAGTGCATGATGAGGCTTCCCTTGCCTGGGATTCCAGCAAATTGGAGGGATGGGGAGGCCACCCCAGGGGGCCTGATGGGACAGTCCCAAGGCTAGGGGGTGAAGGCAGTATGGGAGTCGCCCCAAATAAACGAGCAGAGACCCCCGTGGAGGAAATCCAGGTGGAGGACTTATTGATAGGGGTGTCACAGAGGTGACCTGGGAGTCTCCCCTCACAGGAAGGATGTTGTTATGGGGCAAAAGAGGCAGGAGGTGGAAAGGGTCAAGGAAGAAAAGCAGTGAAGGTGAAGCTCTGGCCATGCCTCTCCAGCTGTGCCAACTGTGCAGCGGGGGTGCGGTGTGGTGCAGACTCCAGAGGTGCGCCCATGCAGGCTGCAGAAGGAACATGTTCTCTGGAGTCTGGCAGCACCGGGGTCCCTGAATCTCTGACTGCTGTATTCCCACGGTGACTCCCCCTGGCTGGACCAGAATCTCTGCCCACCCCTCCTTTCCAGCCTTGCTCCAGGTCCTCTGCTGTGAACATCCTGCTGGGAGTCAGAGTGAATCCTGCGCACTCCCAAGCCCCCTGCCCTGGGGCTTTTCCTCAAGCTCTGCCTGGAGTAGCCTTCCTTCCCTCTCTCCTGGATTGTAACACACTCCAGGCCCCCCACTCTCATGCATCAGTTCCCACCTTTTTTAGGGTTGTGTCCCCAAATCTGCCTGCCAGACCTGACCCAGCCATCCCCTTGCTGTGTGGCCTTAGGCACATCATGTCTTCTCTCTGGATCTCGGTTTCTTGGTCTGTGAAATAGTAGTGGTGCTGAGAGGTACATTAGGGGAACTCTCCTATTCCTTTCGGACTTGGATGAATCCACGGACCTAAGTCCTTTGTCCTACTAATAAAAGATGAAAGATGCATGCTTCTCTCATTCATCTTTGTGTTCTCCACAGCACCTAGTAGAGGGCCCCACCAGAAGGACTGGATGGATGATAAATCTCTCTAGAGTGACCAGGGGCCATTCATTCCTTGGCCCTAATTGTCCAGAGTTTGTTCCTTCCAGTGGGTTCATGGTCTCGCTGACTTCAAGAATGAAGCCGCAGACCTTCACGGTGAGGGTTACAGCTCTTAACGGTGGCACAGATCCAAAAATAGTGAGCAGCAGCAAGATTTATCGTGAAGAGCGAAAGAGCTAAAGAAGGAAGCTTCCACAGCGTGGAAGGAGACCTGAGCGGGTTGCCACTACTGGCTGGTGGAGTGGGGGGTGGGGGAGTTGGGGGCAGGGGGAGGTGGCCAGCTTTTATTCCCTTATTTGTCCCCGCCCATGTCCTGCTGATTGGTCCATTTTACAAACCTCTAGCTAGCTACAGAGTGCTGATTGGTGCATTTTTATAGAGCACAGATTGGTGCATTTTACAAACCTCTAGCTAGCTACAGAGTGCTGATTGGTGCGTTTTTACAGAGCTCTGATTGGGGCATTTTACAAACCTCTTATAAGACAGAAAAGTTCTCCAAGTCCCCACTGGATCTGGGAAGTCCAGCTGGCTTCACCTCTCACTAAGTTGATAAAAATATCCCTTGGGAACTTGACATCATTTCCGCCCATTTCCTGGCAAATCCAGCATGTTCTCATTTATAATCTGGTCTCCTGAGTAGACTGTCCCCTGAGAGATATATCCAGGACTAGCAATAATAGTTATCCTTTAAACAAAAGACCGCCCCACAGTTACCTCTGGGGTGGGAGCCTGGAAGGAATAAAAGGTGTTCACTGTATTCTTTTTGGATTTCTGTATACAACAAGTTATTATTGTAATATAAAAGAGACTTTTTAGAAAAAAAGTTATACACAAAGACTGATAATTTGGGTTGCTTCCAAAGAGGGGAACTGGGTAGCTAATGATTGAGGCAGGGTGAGAACCAGGGAGGAGACTCCCTGGTCAACTTATGTCGTTTGGTACCTTTGGAATTTGTACCATGTGCATTCATCATCTACCAAAAAATAAATGCAGGCTGGGCATGGTTGCTCATGCCTGTGGTCCCAGCACTTTGGGAAGCTGAGGTGGGCAGATCGCTTGAGCACAGGAGTTTGAGACCAGCCTGGGCAACATAGTAAGACCCTGCCTCAAAAAAAAAAAATTATCCAGTCATGGGGGTGCACACCTGTGGTCCCAGCTACTTGGGAGGCTGAGGTCAGAGGATTACTTGAGCCTGAGAGATCAAGGCTGCAGTGAGCCAAGATCATGCCACTGCACTCCAGCCTGGGTGACACAGACCCTGTCTCCAAATGGTAAATAAATAAAAATAAATAAATAAATGCAAATTTATGAAATCACCAGCCTGTGTATAGTCCTTCTGTAGAGATGAGGTACTTTGACACGTAATAGCTCACTTAATCCTCCTCATGCCCCTAGGTAAGTGCGATGATTAACCCTATTTTCAGATAAGGAAACTGAAGCTCACAGAAGATGAAAGGTTTGCCCAGAGTTTCTAAGTTGGTGTGATATTGCATTGAGGCTCACACTCTGGGTTTGTGATCCTGAAGCAGGTTGCTGATAAGGTTTAGCTAGTCAAATATATTTCCATTAAAAAAAAATGAGGCCGGGCGCGGTGGCTCAAGCCTGTAATCCCAGCACTTTGGGAGGCCGAGACGGGCGGATCACGAGGTCGGGAGATCGAGACCATCCTGGCTAACACGGTGAAACCCCGTCTCTACTAAAAAAATACAAAAAACTAGCCGGGCGAGGTGGTGGGCGCCTGTAGTCCCAGCTACTCAGGAGGCTGAGGCAGGAGAATGGCGTGAACCCGGGAGGCGGAGCTTGCAGTGAGCTGAGATCCCGCCACTGCACTCCAGCCTGGGCGACAGAGCGAGACTCCGTCTCAAAAAAAAAAAAAAAAAAAAAAAAGAATTGACATTTTGATGTATGACTCAGTCTTTGGAAGGTTTGTTTATTATGAGTCGAATTCCCATTAAAGGCAACTGAAAAACAGAGTTCCCCATGCTGCAAAGCTGAGGCCCAGACACAGGGTGGAGGAGGCCCCATCAAACTACATATATGAGGGGTCTCCTCAGCCACCCATCCCATCTCAACTCCTCACCTGGGTTCTAGGCTCCTCAACTTCTTTGGAAATTTTGCCTTAAACCTCACTCCCTCTAGGAAGGCTTCACCAGCGCCTCCTGTGGGACTCTCCCTTGCTCCAAGCAAGGTCTAAAGCCCGTTTTCTCTGCTACATTCTCTTTTTTTTTCCCTTTGAGACGGAGTCTCGGTCTGTCGCCCAGGCTGGAGTGCAGTGGCACGATCTTGGCTCACTGCAAGCTCTGCCTCCCGGGCTTATGCCATTCTCCTGCCTCAGCCTCCCGAGTAGCTGGGACTACAGGCACCCACCACGATGCCCGGCTAATTTTTTGTATTTTTAGTAGAGATGGGGTTTCACCATGTTAGCCAGGATGGTCTTGATCTCCTGACCTCATGATCCACCCGCCTCGGCCTCCCAAAGTGCTGGGATTACAGGCGTGAGCCACTGCGCCCGGCCTTCTCTGCTACATTCTAAACTGTCTTGTTCACAGCTACACTTCTGCACATCTCACACTGGGCCTGGCACACAGCAGGAGCTTAATGGATACTCACCAAATGAATGAGTAAACCAATGGCCAGTCCTCTACTCCTGCCAGGCCACCCTAGTTGTCTCCTTTCTCTGTGATTTGTGCCAATCACACCCCTCATTGGGAAGCAGAGGGGCAGTCACAGGGGATGGCCTAGCACTCCCAGCCCCTGAGGAGTCTGTGCCTGCCAGCAACAAGTCTTTCTCCACCCAAGGATGGGTGTGGGGAACCAGCTGCCCGTCTCATTAACAGATGAGTGTCCTGAGCTCTGATGGGTGGAAGGGGGGAGTGTCACAGGAAGGAGGGGGCTGTAAAGGCCTCAAGTGGCTCTTTGGCCATCTCTGAGCAGCGCAGCCTCTGATATTAACTCGGCAGAGCTGTGTCGAAATTACTCACTTCTGCATCTCTGCCGCCCCTTATTTCTCTGTGCTCATCAGCACATGGCCTCGCCGACCTCCCCTGCCACTTCTCAGAGGAAGACAGGAGGAGCTGGGGGGGAGACTGAGTTCCATCCTCTTTGGAGCTTGTTCAGATTTTTAATGAGCTGTAGCCCCCCTCATATCCCATCATATCCTGCCACCCGCTGTCACCATCACAGCCACCCTGACCACCTTCCTTCCCCAAAATGTCCCCTCCCTGCTGATCAATCGCCACCTCTCTTCCAGCCTCCCTTCCTCCCTGTCTCTGCCCCGCCCCAATTTCAGAATTCCTAAGCCCTGGGAAAGCCCAGCCCCACTAATGAGCTAAAGCTGACCTTGTCTCCAGGCCGCAGCAGCTGAATGTATTAACCCCTCACTCCAGCACAGCCCTCATTGACTTCCAAACCACTTTTGCATCATTGTGCAGTCAGTCCAATGGAGCCATTTATTGGGCACCTGGGGGCAGGGTTGGGGGTGCTGGGGACAAGGTCCTTTCACTTGTGGAGCTGCAACCTCGCAGGAGTAGCTGTAGCATCAGCGGCTCCACGACAGAGGAGAGGTCACTGCTGTGAATCAAGGACACTGGACTCTGGTCTGAGTCTAGCCACCAACTGGTTGCATGACCTTGATCCAGTCCCTTCCTCCCTCTGGACCTTGGTGCTTCTATCTGCAAATAAGGGGTTGAACTTGTTCAGTATTTTCCAAACTGCAGTTTGCAACCCATTACAGGACGGGGAAATAAATTTAGTGTCAGAACCAACATTCGAAGAAAGAAAAAAACTTAAAGCAACTGCATCAGAGCACGGCACACAATAGAGGTAAGTATCACACAAAGAAACGTACTGGGCCAGCACGGTGGCTCATGCCTGTTTGGAAGGCCGAGGTGGGCAGATTGCTTGAGCTCAGGAGTTCAAGGCCAGCCTGGGTAATGTTGTGAAATCCTGTCTCTACAAAAAATATAAAAATTAGCCGGTCATGGTGGTGCGTGACTGTAGTCTGAGCTACTCGAGAGGCTGAGGCAGGAAGATCGCTTGAGCTCAGGAGGTTGAGGCTGCAGTGAGTTGAGATTGTGCCGCTGCACTCCAGCCTGGGTGACAGAGTGAAGCCCATGTCTTGGCTGCACATGTGTGTACATGTTTCCACAGGTACCTGCATGTATGTGTAAGTGTGTCTATTTGTGTCTATGGTTGAGTGTGGACTATATGTATATGCACGTGTGTTTTATGCACTTGTGTGTCTGTGTGTCTGTGCTGGGTCACAACACAGAGTGGATTTCTTACGATGAGTCACAGTCAAAATATCTTGGGAAATGCTGGTGAACATGGTCCCTAAGATTCTTCTGGTTCCAACACTACATCGTTTCCAATGCTGTTAGAAGAGGGGCCCTGAGGGGCTCCTTCTAGCCACAGGATAGGGAAAACTTCATCAAAGACTTGGTGACATTTGTGCTTTCAAAGATGAGTAGGATTTCTACCAACAGAGAAATGTAGGGGACAGAGGGGAGAGAGACAGGGGAGAAGGGACAACAGCATTCCAGGTGGAGGCACCATTGTGAGCAAAGGCCGGGAGGTGGGACTGTGCTCCGTCTGTTTGGGGAACAGTGAGGAGTCCTAGGACCCCAGGACAGGGGATGACATTCTGAGGTTGGAAACCTGGGTTGGGGCCACGTCTTGTGGCGGCCCATGGTTTCCACTTAGGGGCTTTGCACAGGGATGATGGGAAGCCAGGTAAGGCTTTTGATATCCCAACAGCCCCAGGAGGGACCCCAAGACTCCATGCTTCCCCCTGTCTTCCAGGAAAGGACTTTTAGACTCATTTAGACTAAGGGATGACTGACTGACAAGACTTCATGAACCACCTGTTTCATAGGGGTGGTGGGTGACTTATTATTGGCAAGTGGTTCTAAGGCAGAGGGTCTGACGTAGGGCTGCTTCTCTGTACGTGCTGACCACTGCTCTGCGAGGGGGTTGCACACCCACGTGTTGGCATTTCAGAGACTTTGATGCACATGAGCATACTTGGGACAGAGTATTTGCCATTGTGAGGGCTCACCATGCCTAAGGATCTAGACAGAAACAGATCAACTTATTTAATCCTTCGTTTGCAGACGAGGAAGCTGAAACCCAGAGATGTGACTGGCCCAAGGTGTCACAGTGGGTGAGAACTTATTCCTTAGGCCATTAGACTCCCTAAAGCTGCACCTTCGGGCCCCTTTGTGCTGCTGCTGGGCAGAGGGGGATGCGAGAGGGTGGAGAGGGTGCTGAAGAGGTGGGATTGGGAGGCCTCAGGAGGTGGCTGCCTACTCAAAAAGCCTCTTACTTTAAAACAGCTCAGGCCGTCTCCCGTCCCCCACAGAAGGTCCCCACTCCCTACTCTGCAGGGCAATTCCTTGACAGTCACATTAGTGAATGTGAGCATCTTCCCTTGATGCTCTGCCCTTCAGCACCAGGGCAGGACCTGGACACCAGGGTCATTCCCTCCCTAGTACCTATGGAGACTGGATGCTGAGGAGGGAAAGGTGAAGCCACAGCCAACTATTTTTAGTTCAAGAATTGGTTGCCAGGAACACTGAGCCAACTCTCTGCTGTATATTAGGGATGCGACAGCAGTGTTTTTCGCAGGGTCTAATTGTGAGGATTTATTGTAACACGCAACTTGTCAGCCACTGCTCTGCCTGGGGCCCAGTCTCCTTGTCATCGGAATCTGAGCTATTTCCCAACTCCTTGGGTGCAGGGGAAGGGAATGGGCAGAGAAGGAGCAGGAGTGTGCCCTGGGACCCTGGACAGCTCACAGCCGACCCTGCACCAAGAGTCCCTCTGCCCAGTAGCGGGCAGACGGGAGAAAAGTGATGGAGTGGATTGGAAGCAAAGAGAGAGGGCCTGGGGCTGCCCACAGTTGGGCCCACAAGACTCAACCTTGACTTTCCTTGGAGCTTCAGATCTGGAAGAGGCTCAGTGGGAACAAGCTGACAGCTTTTTCTCTTGTGCATGACAGTAGCATAGGAGGGCACGGGCCTGGGTAACAGCAGAGAGTTTTCAGTTAGATGGAACAAGGACCTCCTTGATGTGAGGGTGATGGAGACAAAGAGGGGACAGTGTCTGGTCTCAGCAGTGGCAGTGGTCATCCTTCTGCCAAGGGAGGGGGAGAGATATACAGACACCTAGCAAAGCCTACTATGTGCTGGGCACACTTTGCAGCACCCCGATGGGACCTTATTTAATCCCCTGCAGAGGGGGCACACCCCAGTGCATGGACAGCCTGTGAAGGGGGCTGCCCACCCCACGGCCCTCCCCATTGCATAGATGAGGAAACTGAGGCTCGGGTAGATATTCACCTAAGGTCTCATAGCAGTAAGGAGGCTACAGCTGGGATTTTTACCCAAATGGGTCCAACTTCAGAGCTCTACTCACCAACCATCATTGACTAGGACCTCAGGAACTGGAAGGAGGGGTCCTCTTTTCCCTTGTTCCTGCATACCTGGAATTCCGGGACAAAAAGACATTCAGCCAGCCAGCCAACCAGCCAACAAATGCACCAGGTACTGCGCCAGGCCCCTGGAATACAGGTACCCACCCAGGAAGAGCTGATGTGAAAAGATCATTTCATCCAGCCTCCTGCCTCACCTCTTCCTCTCCAAAAACAGTGGTCTGCATTTCAAAACACTCGAGAAAGGAAGGGCTGCAACCGTCCTTCTTCCCTTAAATAGTCAGGACTATTTAAGAAGCTTCTGATGTCTCAGGCAGGGGATAGGGGAAGGACGGCTTGGACTCTCAGCATCTTGGGGGAAGGCTGGACTCAGGCCTACTTTCCTTATTTAGAAACCCTGGAGTAATGATGCAGAACCACCTTATGGGAATGCTAAATGAGAAAGAGAAGGTTGAATGCCGCTGGCCATGGGTTCAACTTTCCCGAGACAAGCTAAAATTGGACTTATCATTACAGCAGGCACCAGGTATATGTTTATTCTTCATAATTATTTTTAGTTGTATAGACTACGTTTTTAATAGGTAATGCAAACTTGCACATGATGCAAAAATCAAAAGGTGCACAGGAAATATCCTGAACATCTCCCTCCCTTCCCTACTTCCAGTCACCTAATTCCTCTCTCCACAGGCTCCAAGGTTATCAGTTTCTTGGTAGATTTGCAGAGACTGTCGCTCCAATAAATAAGCAATTACAGCTATATATTCTTTTTGTTTTATACAAATGTGCTCTTCTATACCTTGCTTTTTTTCCCACTTAGCAATTTATCTTGGAGATTGTTACAAATCAGTCCATAAAGTGTAGCCCCCTCCATTCCTTTTTAATGACTGCATAATATTCTGCCAGTTGAATGAACCCTGATCTGCCAAACTCATCCCCAGTGATGGACGTTTAGGTGTTTCCAATCTTTGGCTCTTATAAGTAGTGCTGCAATAAATAACCTCATTCATAGATCGTATGGCATATGAAAGGTTATATTTATGGCATAAATTCCCAGAAGTGGAGCTGCTGGTCCATGAACATGTACATTTATAATTTTGGTACTTACTGCTAAATCTTTCTCCAAATAGATTGCACCAATTTACACTGTCTTGAGTTTCCCCAGAAGCAGGACCTGAGAAAAAGATTCAAGGGTAGGTTGTTTATTTGGGAGGTAATCCCAGGAAGTCCCAGGAGGGAGGTGGGGAAGGGGGACAGGGGAGGGAAGAAAGCCTGGTGACTGGAGCTTAATCCCATTGAGGAACTCAGGGAGGCATGTGGGACCCCCAGCTCGGAGTCATCCCAGTGGAGGGCACCAGGGTAGGGCACTGGCAGCATCCACCATCCCCTTCTCTGGAAACGCAGGGGTCTCTGTTGCCCCACACTTTCACTCTGGGAAAATCTGATCATCCTTCCCCTCACACCCCTCCCTGGGCCCCATCTCACCCCAGTGCATGGACAGCCTGTGAAGGCCCTGCCCCAGGTTGGCACTGATCACTCTGCCCCTGCAGGGTCCCTCCTAGCTGCCAAGCCCTGGGGAAGGTACAGAGGCACATCTGGGGTCACAAAACCCTAAACGCCCTAAAAGGAAACTACCTGTGGTACAACCTTTGTGCCCGTCCCCACCCACCCTCCAGCCATCGCACAAAACATGCCCACTCCAGAATTGTTTAACCGATCGAGCATAAGATTCTGCCCTTGTGCCCCGGAAGCCACACCCTGCATGTGAACTCCATGTAGGGACAAGGCCACACTCACTGGGGCACAGACATAGATGCTAGGAAACAGCCCAGGCTGGGGTGAAGGCTCTGCAGGTGGGCAGGACCAGGTCTGGGGGTGGTGGTGGCCCTCGGGGCTCCAGGACCCTCTTCCAGCTCCCTACATCTGCTTTCCTAACCCTGTCCCCACCAGGCTGGTTCAGAGCTCCAGGGTCCCCCTCCCCAAGGTCCGTGAGGAAGACTTGGGAGAAGTGGGTCCTATAGGGGTCAGCCCTGGCCTCCTAGCCCAGGGAGTTGCTGACTAGGTTCTCTGTGGCCTCCTCTCATCTTCAAGATGCTATCCCCCAACCTAACTTATTTAATGGAGGGCTACTGTCCTCACTAGGGCACTAGCAGTCAGCTTATTTAACTGAGGGCTACTGTCTTCACTAAGGCCCTAGCAGTCAGCTTATTTAACTGAGGGCTACCGTCCTCACTAGGGCACTAGCAATCAGAGACACAGAGTAATAAGAGAAAGCACAATCCTCTATGCAACCAGGCTCAGGGCAGGACCCTAGTCAAGGCCTATTAGCCCTTAAAGCAAACCTGCAGCTTCCAGTAACATAAACGTGGTGTTAATGTAGGAACAGAAATGGCCACCCTGACATCTGCTTAAGCAAGGTGAGGTATTAGCTACAGTCTATCCCCACCTGAGTCCTTTCTTTACTTGACTGTTAACAGAAATGCTGAGAGAAAACCCAGCAATTGTGGCAGCCAGCTCAGAGTCAGGGAGCTGGAACCTAGGCTGGCACACACCCCTGCCAAGCTTAGCTGGCTAACACTGGGGCCAGGCCTGGTGGCTGCCTAGGTCTTAGTTTACTCCTTTATAAAATAAAGATCTGGGCCGGGCGCGGTGGCTCAAGCCTGTAATCCCAGCACTTTGGGAGGCTGAGACGGGTGGATCACGAGGTCAGGAGATCGAGACCATCCTGGCTAACATGGTGAAACCCCGTCTCTACTAAAAAATACAAAAAACTAGCCAGGCGAGGTGGCGGCGCCTGTAGTCTCAGCTACTCGGGAGGCTGAGGCAGGAGAATGACGTGAACCCGGGAGGCAGAGCTTGCTGTGAGCTGAGATCCGGCCACTGAACTCCAGCCTGGGCGACAGAGCGAGACTCTGTCTCAAAAAAAAAAAAAAAAAAAAAAAAAAAGATCTTGGACTAATTCAGTTGATAAATATACAAAGCTCAAAAGCACCTATTACATGCCAGATGCTAGGGAAACAGCTGAGCAGCACACAATTCCTGCCCTCGAAGAGTTTTCTGTCTGGCAGGGACGGGCACAACCAGCCAACTCCATGTGAAAGAAACAGAATAAATGGTGTATAAGGGTCCCAGAGGCACAAATAAAGACACTGGTTAATTCTCCCTGGGGGAAAAGTAGGGGAACACCACTTAGTGTCAAGGGCGTTTGAAGTGGGCTTCAAAGGGTGAGTAGGAGTTTTCAAGAGAGACCTCAATGACCCCTTCAATCTTCCAGAGTGAAAATTCTATTCTCTAGTCCACAGCAACATTTTTAAACTGCACTCTACAAAACTTTAGTATCTTCAAGATGTAAAGTGCTCTTAATTAAAAAAAAAGTTACATGATGATAGAGGTTTGGGAAGCAGTGAGTCAAAATCAAACTGGAGTCCTTGCTACAGGACTCCTCAGAGCAGCTCTTACCTGGGAGCCCCATCTCCCCTCAAGGGAGAGCAGAGCTGGACAGGAAGGGCAGCCCAGACTGGGAGAACACAGACTAGCTCCACCTTTTCTCCCTCCCTCCCCCTTCCCTCTTCCTTCCTTTCCTCCTTGTCTTCTTTCCCTCCATTTAACCATATACCCATCCATCCACCCATCCATCCATCCAGCCATCCATCCAACCATCCACCATCTATTACTACAAAGGGCCTTGAGTCCCTCCTCTGTACCAGTCACTGTATAATTAACAAGATGTCTGCTGCTAATGAAAGATTCCTTCCGGCCAGGCGTGGTGGCTCACGCCTGTAATCCTAACGCTTTGGGAGGCCAAGGCAGGAGGATCACTTGAGCCCAGGAGTTGGAGACCAGCCTGGGCAACATAGTGAGACCCTGTCTCTTAAAGAAAAAAAAAAAAATTTTTTTTTTCCTTTCCTTCCTGCCGCCGTGATTTCTTTCTTTCTCCTCCCTTTATTCATTCCTTCTCCCCTTCACCTTCTCTAACTTTCTGGTCCCTGTCTCTCGTTGGCATGCTCTGAGTGCTCGTTACATCCAAATTCCAGCCCTGTCCCTCCTAAGGGGACTCTGGGCACAAGGACTTTCATGGGGAGCTTGACGCCCACTGCACTTGGTACACCAAGGAGAGCAGACAGGGGTAGGCTGCTCTGTTCTGAGGATAAACCCTCTGGCAATTCAGTGCTCAGAGAGGTGGAATGAAGGAGCAGGGACACAGGTGGACCCCGAGAAGGCAGTTAAACACTATCAAGTGCTTACTATGTGCTGAGCACAGGTTAGGGCTGCTACGTATACCAGGTAATTTCCTTGGTTCCAAAATGCAGGTCAAGGAGTGTTATTTTCTAGATTATTACCTATGAGGAACCTGAGGCTCAGAGAGGTTATGTAATGGATCCAAGGTCACACAGGAGTGAATGGAGACCAGAGGCTATTGACCCCAAAGTGCCTGCTTCTTGGAGGAGTGACACTGATGCAGTGATGGAGGGAGGCGGCGATGGGCTGGCCTGTTGGGGAGGCCCTTGACCAGAGGCCAAAGACAAGAGCGAGTCTGCAGGCGGCTGGTCTGGCTGGGGTCGGGGATAGCCGCCAGGATGGAGCACAGAGCTGAGACGGGAGATGGGAAGGGGCTGCTGAACAAGACTGCTGGCAAGAGGAGCGGAGAGGCTGGCTTCCCAGAAGTGGTTCATCAGAGACCCACGGACAAAGGCTAAGGGAGTGGATGGGACACCTGGGGAAAGGTACCGAGACTGCAGCGAAAGTTTCTCTGCTTTATCTGCTGCAGGTTATGTTGTGTGTATTGATTTTCTCTTAATAAAATCCATTCCAATATTTTTTTAAAAAAAGAATAATGACAGTGGATGCCTGTGGAGACAAGAAGCTTGGCAGAAATTGTTTAGTATTGGGCACAGGCCCCGGGAGGAAGGGGCAGCCCCTCCCCACTGGGGAAGGAGGACACCGCGGGTGGGTGAACAGGCATGAGAAAGACACAGGGGCCAGAAAGACAGAGCGGAGGTCCTCAGACTTCAGTCTCTGCCACTCCTTCGCTCCCACGAGCCCCCCTGGGTGGGAGCAGAGGCCGCTGCCCTTGGCCATGCCTCTGCTGGGACGTCTGCACAGGCTCCAGGTTTCCCTCGTGTGACCTCCCCTTCCCCCGCCTGGTGCTGGGCCTTTCCTGCACTGCCTGGCAGCTGTTAGACCTGGGGAAGCCACATCACCTGTCTGATGCTTACCTTTCTTGCAAACCAGGAATAACACCACTTTGCGGATGCC